TAACTGGGTGAAATTCTATGGTCTATGATATACAGATCACCAGACTAGGTGATCTGATGGTCTCTTGTAGCCTCAACTCTACGAATCAGTGAAATTTGGTGCTGAATACTGAGCATATAACTTCATTTTCTCTTATCCACCCTCCTGTCCAGGGCCATAAGGGGAAGCTCCTGGAGATTTATGATCAGTCGGTAGTCCAGTCACACTTCTGCTGCCCTGTGGTGCCAACAGCAGCAATTTTCAGCTGATGGAATCATACGGTTCTAGAGCAGGGGTTCTCAAACTGGGGATCAGGACCCCTCAGAGGGTCGCGAGGTTATTACATGGGGGTCGTAATTTGTCAGCCTCCACTCCAAACCCTGTTTTGCCTCCAGCATTTATAATGTTAAATGTGGTTTTAATTTATAAGGGGAGGGGGTCACACTCAGAGGCTTGCCATGTGAAAGGGGTCACCAGTACAAAAGTCTGAGAACCAGTGTTCTAGAGGAATGCTAGGAGCCAGTGAAGTTTGGGAAAGGGGAGACATCTAGAATGAGAGTGGCGAAGTTCTCACTCTATCCTGTTAAAGTGATTTTTACCCTGACACTGCCCCTTTAGGAACTTGGGATTGCTTTTTAACACACAATACTAAGAACACTTCTTAGATTTCTGAAACTGAAGGAATTTTCAGAACTCTAATTTTACATCATTTCTGCTGTTGACTTTTTGCACTTCCATCACTTTGGAAGATGACAATCGACTAAGTTCACTTTCTGATCCATATGCACTAGCATAATGAGTCCTTGTGTTTTTAAGTTCAAACATTGCTGTGAACTTTTCACTAGTAGAAGCCTAATCTTGGAAACATTGTGCTTGTTCATAATGATCAGGAGAAGGTTGATAAGTCCCTCGGTGACTGCTGTGTAATAAACAAATTTGATACAGTTCATGAACTTTCATCCCTCTTTAATGATGCCTTTGCATGTGGCCTTGTCATAAATATAAAGGGAAGGGTAACCACCTTTCTGTATACAGTGCTATAAAATCCCTCCTGGCCAGAGGCAAAATCCTTTCACCTGTAAAAGGTTAAGAAGCTGAGATAACCTCCCTGGCACCTGACCCAAAATGACCAATGAGGGGACAGGATACTTTCAAATCTGGAGGAGGGGAAAAAGTTTTTTGTCTGTCTGTGTGATCCCTTTGATCTGTTCCCAGGAAGGATGCAAGCTCTCCAACTCCTGTAGAGTTAGTAAGTAATCTAGCTAGAAAATGCGTTAAGTTTTCTTTGTTTTTTTTGGCTTGTAAATTCACTGTGCTGGAGGAAATGTGTATTAAGGTTTTGCCTAGAGGGAGTCTCTCTGTGTTTTGAATCTGACTGCCTGTAAGATTATCTTCCATTCTGACCTTACAGCGTTATTCTCCTATCTTTTTTTTGTTCTTTGAATAAAGTTCTGATTTTTAAGAATCTGATTGGGTTTTTTGGGTCTTAAAAATCCAAGGGGTTTGTGATCATCTGGTTTATTCTCAAGCCTCCCCAGGAAAGGGGATGTTAGGGCTTGGGGGGATATTTTGGGGAAATAGGAACTCCAAGTGGTCCTTTCCCCATTCTTTGTCTAAAACACTTGGTGGTGGCAACGTTTTACCTAATCCAAGGGCAAAGACTTTGTGCCTTAGGGAAGTTTTAACCTAAGCTGGTAGAAATAAGCTTAGGGGGTCTTTCATGCGGGTCCCCACATGTGTACCCTAGAGTTCAGAGTGGGGAAGGAAACTTGACAGACCTAAAAACCAAGGTGTGATCGTTTGCGGTCATTAATGATCCAGTAGTGTGTTTTAGAAGAGTTGGAGTGTTTAAACGCCGTATGGCCAAATCCCAACAACAAATTATTCTCCTACCTCTGTTCCTCTATAGCTTCACTGAGGTAAGGGTATTCACAATAGGAGTGAAAATGTGGTTTTGCTGTGTTCCTCCCCAGAAATGGCTTCATTTAAGTGAGACGTGAAGTGATCCTTTATATCCATTCTCTGCCCCATACATGCTATGAGGCTTAGGGCATGGCTACCCTGGAAACTTCAAAGCGCTGTTGTGGGAATGCTCGCACGGCGGCGCTTTGAAGTGTGAGCGTGGTCGACCGTGAGCGCTGGGAGAGCTCTCTCCCAGTGCTCCTGGTAATCCACCTCCATGTGGAGATTAGCTCCCAGCGCTGGGTCTTGCGCGGCTCCCAGCGCTGGGTCTTGCGCGGCTCCCAGCGCTGGGTCTTGCGCGGCTCCCAGCGCTGGGTCTTGCGCGGCTCCCAGCGCTGGGTCTTGCGCGGCTCCCAGCGCTGGGTCTTGCGCGGCTCCCAGCGCTGGGTCTTGCGCGGCTCCCAGCGCTGGGTCTTGCGCGGCTCCCAGCGCTGGGTCTTGCGCGGCTCCCAGCGCTGGGTCTTGCGCGGCTCCCAGCGCTGGGTCTTGCGCGGCTCCCAGCGCTGGGTCTTGCGCGGCTCCCAGCGCTGGGTCTTGCGCGGCTCCCAGCGCTGGGTCTTGCGCGGCTCCCAGCGCTGGGTCTTGCGCTCAGGGGGTGATTTTTTTCACACCCCTGAGCCAGCAAGTTAGAGTGCTGTAAAATGTAAGTGTAGACAAGCCCTTAGTGTTAATAAGCAATGGGAAGTACTTTGGGCACCTTAGAAGAAAAGTTGATAAAGTGCAAAGTAGTAATGTTAAATGGTTATGTTGTGATTTATTTAATCAAATCAGTGGAAGCTTCTCTGATTACTGTACAAGCAGATTAAATTTCTGTAAGGATGATTTTGTTGCCCAAAACATGGTATTGGTAAATCTGAGTTCATTCCAAGCTCTGCCCAGACTCATGGTGTGACCTTAAGGAAGTCATTTAACATTTTGTGCCTTGTTTCCTTGATGATTGGGTGGGGTTAATACTTTTCCTCCTGATGGCTTTTGTGAGGCATACTTCTTAACCTCTAAAAAAGGAAAAGGAGTACTTGTGGCACCTTAGAAACTAACAAATTTATTTGAGCATAAGCTTTCGTGAGCTACAGCTCGCTTCCACTGAATGCATCCGATGAAAATACAGTGGGGCGATTTATATACACAGAGAACATGAAACAATGGGTGTTCCCATACACACTGTAACAAGTGTCTCTAAGGTGCCACAAGTACTCCTTTTCTTCTTGTAACAAGAGTGATCAGGTAAGGTGAGCTATTACCAGCAGGAGAGCGGGGTGGAGGGGAAGCCTTTTGTAGTGATAATCAAGGTAGGCCATTTCCAGCAGTTGACAAGAATGTCTAAGGAACAGTGGGGGGTGGGAGGGGAAGGGGGAATAAACATGGGGAAATTTAGTATTACTTTGTGTAATGACCCATTCACTCCCAGTCTTTATTCAAGCCTAAGTTAATTGTATTTAGTTTGCAAATTAATTCCAATTCAGCAGTTTCTCGTTGGAGTCTGTTTTTGAAGTTTTTTTGTTTAAGAATTGCCACTTTTAGGTCTGTAATCAAGTGACCAAAGAGATTGAAGTGTTCTCTGACTGGTTTTTGAATGTTCTAATTCTTGATGTCTGATTTGTGTCCATTTATTCTTTTACATAGCGACTGTCCAGTTTGGCCAATGTACATGGCAGAGGGCCATTGCTGGCACATGATGGCATATATCACATTGGTAGCTGTGCAGGTGAACGAGCCTCTGATAGTGTGGCTGATGTGATTAGGCCCTATGATGGTGTCCCCTGGATAGATATGTGGAGACAGTTGGCAATGGGCTTCCTTGCAAGGCTAGGTTCCTGGGTTAGTGTTTTTGTTGTGTGGTTGCTGGTGAGTATTTGCTTCAGGTTTGGGGGCTGTCTGTAGGCAAGGACTGGCCTGTCTCCCAAGATCTGTGAGAGTGATGGGTCGTCCTTCAGGATAGGTTGTAGATCCTTGATGATGAGCTGGAGAGGTTTTAGTTGGGGGCTGAAGGTGATGGCTAGTGGCGTTCTGTTATTTTCTTTGTTGGGCCTGTCCTGTAGTAGGTAACTTCTGTGTACTCTTCTGGCTCTGTCAGTCTGTTTCTTCACTTCAACAGGTGGGTATTGTAGTTTTTAGAACGCTTGATAGAGATCTTGTAGGTATTTGTCTCTGTCTGAGGGATTGGAGCAAATGCAGCTGTATTGTAGAGCTTGGCTGTAGACAATGGATTGTGTGGTGTGGTCTGGATGAAAGCTGGAGGCATGTAGGTAGGCATAGCGGTCAGTAGGTTTCCGGTATAGGGTGGTGTTTGTGACCATCCCTTATTAGCACCGTAGTGTCCAGGAAGTGGATCTCTTGTGTGGACTGGTCCAGGCTGAGGTTGATGGTGGGATGGAAATTGTTGAAATCATGGTGGAATTCCTTAGGGCTTCTTTTCCATGGCTCCAGATGATGATGATGTCATCAATATAGCGCAAGTAGAGTAGGGGCATTAGGGGACGAGAGCTGAGGAAGCGTTGTTCTAAGTCAGCCATAAAAATGTTGGCATACTGTGGGGCCATGTGGGTACCCATAGCAGTGCCGCTGATTTGAAGGTATATGTTGTCCCCAAATGTGAAATAGTTATGGGTGAGGACAAAGTCACAAAGTTCAGCCACCAGGTTTGCCGTGACATTATTGGGGATACTGTTCCTGATGGCTTGTAGTCCATCTTTGTGTGGAATGTTGGTGTAGAGGGCTTCTACAGCCATAGTGGCTAGGATGGTGTTTTCAGGAAGATCACCGATGGATTGTAGTTTCCTCAGGAAGTCAGTGATGTCTCAAAGATAGCTGGGAGTGCTGGTAGCGTAGGGCCTGAGGAGGGAGTCTACATAGCCAGACAATCCTGCTGTCAGGGTGCCAGTGCCTGAGATGATGGGGCGTCCAGGATTTCCAGGTTTGTAAATGATTACAAGGTCCTTTGAAGGCACGAGAGAAGGGGAAAGCATCATCACTGTCTGAATTGGGATTTGTGCACCTTGCTTGTAAGAAACTCGACAGTCAAAAGCAGAATAATGTCTTTGCTTTTTTCCCCCCTTTAGGAAAAATTTTGCATCCCACATGAATTACGAAAACCCTCCACCATATCCAGGCCCAGGCCCGACTGCCCCATACCCACCATATACACAACAACCAGGTGGTCCTCCAGGCCCCAACCCATACCCTGGCTACCCACCAGGGCCTACTGGGCCGTATCAACCAGGTCAGCCGGGTTATCAAGGCTATCCACAGTATGGGTGGCAGAATGCGCCTCCACCTCCTGGACCAGTGTACGCAGATGGACCTAAAAACACAGGTACGCTAAGCAGCATGGTGCCCTAATAGCATTATACTGCTGCATGCTCTGTTTTGCAAGTTAATTACTTGTTAATGTGCCTTGTGTGTTTGAAATGAATGACTCTGTTCATCCTGGAGTGAGGGGGATTGCTATCCTCTGGCCTTCAGGAAGACTGTCTGTGCAGTGCCCATGCTAATAGGGGCAGATGAAGCAGGAGATTCCTGGAGGGGAGCTGCTGTTTCTGGTTTCAGCTACAGTGGCAGCTCTCGTTTTTCAGGTTCAGCTTGTTTTTGCTGTTGTAGGTTCTGTTAATGGCTCATTTTCTGACTAGAGACATGTGGAGTGTCCCTGAACAGCCTTGATGGGGGCTCCTGAGGGGACTGCTTACACTAAGCCGTTTTCTGCTGAGTTTTAGCCTCTGTTCCACCTTTTTTCATTTTTCCTCAGTTAACAGCCATCCAGCCGTAGGCTGAGACTTTAAAGCCCCTTAGGGGATTTAGATGCACAGTTCTATTGAAATGAATGGGAGTTATGCATGTAAAATCACTCAGCAACTTTGAAAATTTCAGCCCTAGTGTACTCCTCCATGTGGTTTTGGATCAGTTTCTAGGCCTTTAATTTTCTTGGGCAGTCACCACTATATTTTTCCAGTAATTATGCCTGGGGGGATTATGCACCACTGTGCATGCGCAGAATTTATGTCCATCGCAGATTTCTTTGCTTCCCTGAAGAAAAGTGACTTTCTGATAGGGAAACAAAGGGAAGTCTCAAGAGCAGTTATGCAACTCTCCCCAGAAATATGTTTCTGGTGCCCTGGCAGCAGAGAGGTATATCACTGTGGGGAAGTGGGCAGGACTGGGGAAGACCCAGCTGGTGGCTCCTACCCTGTGCCAGGCTCAGTTGCGACTGGGCTGGGGAGGACGGGACTTCCTCTTCCCCTGCACAGCATCCGGGGCCAAGTCAGACCCACCCCGAGATTTCTCCTCCAGCTGCAGGAAGCTCTGCAACCCCCACCTCCCTGCTTCCTGCATCCATTGCTCCTCAGCTGCAGGGGGAAGGATCCCTCTACAGGGAGCTGCTCCCCTATCTGCCAAACCCACGTGTATCCAGACCCCCTCATACCCAAACCCTCCCACTGAGCCTCACCCACTGTACTCAGAAACACACTCCTCCCTGATGAGCCCCACTCCCCCTGCACCTGGACCACCCCGACAAGCCACCTGGATCTCCCTCCCTGCCACTGAGTCCCACTCCTCCAGCATCTGGATCCCCCACTGAGCCACCTGCACCCAGATTGCCCCACACAGAACCCTCTCAACCCACACCTGGATCCCCCCAGATTAAGCCCCTCCACACTTGGATACTGCCTTGCTGAGCCTGCCGGCCCACACCAAGTGCACCTGGCATGGAGGGACAGGGCCCTGGGGTGTTTCTGGGGCAGGTCCTGTCCTTATGCTATGTCAGGGTTGGGTGCAGCCTCACCGCCAAGTCCGTGTCCCAGGAGGGAGCTGTACAGTGATCTCCAACCTCTGTGTAGCCAGTGGCCTGTGCTCCCTAATGCCATGCTGGAGCCTCCACATTTATTTGACAAATAAAATTTGCAGAATTTTGCAGCACTCTAAAATATTGTGCACAGAAGTTTTAATTTTTTGGTGCAGAATGCCCTCGGGAGTAAATACTATATTGAAATGCTTGAAGATGAAGAATCCAGAGAGCTGAATGGAGTACAGCATCTTTGCTTGTATGGGAAGTTGAACATTCTTCTCTCAGATGCCCCATTTCCTCTCAACAGCCTGACTCAGTAGTCAATAGTTCCCAGGTTGTGGCGCCATAACTGCCTCCGTGTTCACAGGGCTACGGTCAGGGGTAGGCAAAGGTCTTCCAGGGGGTACATCAACTCATCTAGATATTTGCCTAGTTTTATAACAGAGTACATAAAAAGCCAGTCCAAACTAAAATTTCATACAGTGACTTGTTTATACTGCTCTATATCCTATACACTGAAATGTAAGTACAATATTTATATTCCAATTGATTTATTTTATAGCTATATGGTAAAAATGAGAGAGTCAGCAATTTGTCAGTAAGTTTGCTGTGACACTTTTGTATTTTTATGTCTGATTTTGTAAGCAAGTAGTTTTTCAGTGAGGTGAAACTTGGGGATACTCGACACAAATCAAACTCTTGAAGGGTACAGTCATCTGGAAAGGTTGAGAGCCACTGCTCTAGATCTGCACTGAGAGGCAGGCCAGCGCCCGGTTGTGGTTTCTCCCCACTGAAAAAAGAGAAGGGCTGCCATATCTTTTCTCTCCTTCTAGAGAGGAGGCTCACCTGGGGGCCAGTTCAATTCTTGTCAGCCCAGGGAGCTGGTAGCTATCTTTACAGATTACTGTGGCTGTAGAGAGTACATAAAGAGCTGAGGGCTGAAGGTGAGGATGAACTGCTACTAGAAGGGAGGATGGGAAAGAAGACCAGGGCTTGCATTGATGGAGAAGTTGAGTGGATATGGGAAAGGGGGAGAGACTGAGGGGCAATAGGGATAAATAAAAAGAGAAGGGGAGGAGAGAATCCAATGCAGGAAGAAAGGGAAGTGGGCAAGATGAACGGAGCGGGGGGGATGGGGGAGGGGGAGAAAAGGAAGGAAGGCTCCCAAAGATTGAGGCACAGATAAAGGATAGAGATCCGAAATGCTTAATGAAGGAAGGGGAAAGACATACAAGGACAAACATGAGTGCCACAGCAGCTAGGACAAAGCTCAACTGTCTAATCATTGACTAGAAAGTTAAATTCCATGATGTTCCAATAAAATAGAGGTAAATAAAGTATGTACATGCTTGTACCATACACAGGGAAGTTCAGCACTGTCTTCTCTGCTGGAATGGCTTTTCTGGGACTTGGAAATGTCTCCTCTACTCCTTCAGCTTTTTCCAGGGTGTGAGTGTGTTAACAGGTCCCTTACCAAAAAAGGGAATCCTTGTCTGCTACCTGCATGACAGGCAATCTAGGCAAAACCCTACAAGCTTGTCACTAACTGGTAAAGTCTTTTGGAGATTCAGATATGGTTCCATGAAACAGCTTTTAAAAACTGCAGGTTAGAACAAGCAAGATTTGAGATAGCCAATCCTCTGTTGCAATGAGCATCTCAGGTGCTAACTAGGATGGAAAGATTGGGCTGAAAACAGACATTGAGCTTGAGGTTTTCCAGCTGTAGGATTACAACATGGCCTGTCAGCGGGAAGCAGTTTTGTGCTTCTGCAGTGGTGGGAAGGGTCAAGAAAACAGAAGACTCTCTTATGGGAAATGGTGTCTGCTCATCGTTTGCCAAGAGAAGATGGAAATATCATAGTCTAATTTCTGTGGAGCAGACAGTGGGAAACATGGCAAGTGAATGGGAGTTAATGGATAAGCTAGTGAAACCAGGAGCATCATTTGGACAAAAAGATAGCTTGTAAATTTAAATCATGAAAGAGGACTGGTGCCACACTTAGCACAGTTTGGGTGCTATGTAATAACTCAGACCTGCTGACAAGGTATCCAAGCTCAGTTTCCTGAAAAACCTGCTAGATAACCTGCTGAATCCAAAGGATGTGCATGTGCTACAGGTCCCAGTAGTAACTATTGACGTGCTTAGCTCTGGCCTGGAACACAGAGTGACCTGTGTCACTGAGCACTGTTGTGGGATTGTTGTGTAGCTTCACCCTAGAGCTGTTTGTGTGCCCTACTGTTGTTCAGATTGCCATTCCTGTCTTTGGGATCAAATAGAAGTCAAGTTACTGCTTGCATTGCTTTTTCCTAGAGATGCTGCTGTAAGTAGCTCAAATGCCTATGTGTATTAGTGGATGAATTTTCTCATTAGTGAGGCCTATAATTTTACTCGGATAAATGACCAGTAACGTAATTGCCCATGTACTGCAAACTGTTTGCAACAACCCCTGTTCTGTGTGAGCATAGAGGGTTCTTGTTAGATCCCGACTGCAGTTCTGAGTTCAAAGCTGGGCACGGTATAAGGAGAAGGCAGTTGCTGCCACAAAGAGTGCAGCAAAGAGCAACGGAAGGGGAATGGCTGAAATGGTCCTATCCCAGAGGAGAGGAGGCAAATTCAAGGTGATCTGGGAATGGGGAGAGATTCAGAACTATCAAAAGGAGAGAGGAGTAGGGAATCAATAGCTCTTGGATCACTCAACACCTTCAAAGGGCTGGATTCTGAGTAAGTTTGTGTATGCTGATGTAACAAACTCCCCCTCTTTACAGAACTGCTTCATCTGTCCCCCTTTATCCCACCTCTTTTATGTTGTTCAGTGCATCCTGACTCACTAATGTCCCTTGTGACAAGACCACCAGCTCGAAGAATACGTCTATGCTACAGTAGGGCATGTGCTTCCCAGCACAAATGGCCAGATGCATGCTAGCTCCACTCAAGCTAACATGCTAAAAATAGCAGTGTAGCCCAGGTAGCACCGGTGGTTGTTTGGGCTAGAGAACATACCCAGGGGGTCCAGGTGGCTTTGTGCTCAGGTGGCTAGCTGGAGCTGCTGCTAGTGCTACTCCCAGCTACACAGGTATTTTTAGCACACTAGCTCAAGCAGAGCTAGCACCTATCTGTTGAGCTAGGAAGCATGCTCCCAGCTGCAGTATATACATAGCACAGACAAAGTCTTTGGGCATGGAAACTTACAGAATCTTTTCCACTGGTTCTAACTGCAGTTCTGCTGATCAAGTATTAAACCCTAGGGAGCCTTAGTGTAGACAAGGCTCTGATGACCAGACCAGTCTGTGACACCATTTTGATCAGACTTGCTTATGCTACCATTTTAGTCAAGGCTGATGAAAACCGGTTCAGTTTCTGCCCTGTGACTTCCTGCAGTTTTAACTGGAGGTACAACTGATGGGGAAACTTTTCTGTAAATTTCCTAGTGTGTGTATGGCCAAAGGTTACACACACAAGGAACAAGTGAGCAAAGGAAGTGACGTAAAGCAGTGTACGAGTAACACCCCCAGATTCCTTTATAAGGAAGAGA